GCTGTGGGTCTCCCCTGACCCCAGCCCTGTCATCTGTGACCCTGTCATCTGCCCCAGACAGAGCCAGGCACGTTGTCGTACCAGGGGCTGCCTCGGTCCCAGCTGCAGGGACAACACAGCGGGGGGACGACACGGTGCCTCCTTCTTCCTCCCAGCCTCACGCATCCAGGGATTCTGTTAGGATCTGAGGAGAACATAACTGGGACCGTGCCTTTCCCAGCGCTGCCTGAAACAGCTCCAGCATAATCCCTTTCCCAGATTGCTGGATCCTGCCCCTGCTTGGCTGGGGGGGGTGGGGGTGGGGGATGGCGTGGGAGGCTGAAGAGCTGGTTAAAGCCCAGTTTGCAGGCCCTGAGGTGCCAGAGGGGATTTACCTCAGCCAGCCTTGTCCTGCGCAGTGGGGTGGCTGGAGGAGATGGCGTGAGCGAGCACAAGGCCCTGCCTGCCTGTTGTTTCCAGCGAGGGCTTAGCAGTCGCTCGCTCGCAAGCCCCACTCGGTAATTTGGCTCTAGCGCTGCTGGGACAGGACTTTCAGGGCCTCCTCACCACAGCAGGCGGCGACGCCGAGGTTTGTCGCAGCGGAGAAAGTCTCTCGGCGACTTGGCCGCCTCGGTGGCTCCTCCGCAGCCGCCGGGACAGCCTCTGTACAGCCCCCGCCATGGGATGGGGAACGGGATGGGGAATGTCGTCTTCTCAGCTGCTCGCTGACCTGTGTTGTTCTCCCAGCCCGGGAAGGACAGCTGCCTCCTGCCGGTGATGGTGGCCCTCCGTGTCATCTTCATCCCTCTTTTCATGCTGTGCAACGTGCAGCCCCGTCACTACCTGCCTGTCTTATTCTCTCACGACGCCTGGTTCATCATCTTCATGATCTTCTTCTCCATCTCCAACGGCTACCTGGCCAGCCTTTGCATGTGCTTCGGGCCCAAGTGAGTAAGAGCTGGGGGACAGGGGAAGGGTTGGTTACACCCCCAGGTGCCAGCCCCAGCGTGACTCCTGGGGACTGGCTCTGCCCAGCATCTGGAGAAGGGGATGCAGGCGCAGAGGGGAATCCCCACAGCACCACAAGGAGGACAACCCCGCCGTCCCATCTCCCAGCCTTGCGCCTCCACACCCTAGGGATGAGGAAGCTATTTGGGCTCTCCTTTCCCCCCCGCCTGCCGTGCTGGGGAAGGGGCCGGTCGCAGCGGGGGGATCTGGAGGGGAGCAAGGTGGCACCCACAGCGGGGCGAGCAGCCTCGAGGGGCACGAGGAGCCCAGCTGGGGCTCAGCTGGGGGGGCTGCAGTGGGCAGGAGTCGGGGAGGGCTGGTGCTGGGAGCTTGAGGGCACTTTTTCTCTCTTTACGAGCCCGTGCTGTGGAGGCAGGCTCTTGGAGCCCAGGGGGATTTGCTCTTGCTGTTCCTCTGCTGCAGAGGAGCACAGCTTCTGGCTCCTCTGCGGCCTCCTCCCATCTCTCCGGTGAACTCACGGCATCATCCTCGGGGTCTGACGTGGGTTTCTCCCCTAGGAAAGTGCTCGCCCATGAAGCAGAGACGGCTGGGGCCGTCATGGCCTTTTTCCTGTCGCTGGGCTTGGCCCTAGGAGCGGCTGTCTCCTTTCTGTTCCGAATCCTCATCTAGCAGAGGCACCCGGAGGGTGCAGGTACAGCGAGAGACGGCTCCGCATCCTCCTCCGAGGCCTTGGCCGCCTCGGCGCCGTGGGGGAAGAGAACACCTCACGCCTGCCCCTGCCGAATCGCGCCGCCACGGCAGGCGTCGCGCCCAGGGGCAGTTCCACTCCTGCAGGGTTGGCCTGGCTCATGCCACGCTCGGCTGTGTGATGCCTTCAGGCCTACGTGCCTTCTCCTTCCCCACGCTGTGTGTGTGTAAGACCCCTGGGATCTCACCGAGGTCCAGCCGCCTCCCACGCTGCATATTTTCCCCAGCTCAAAGCCAAAAGCCATTCTCGGCCTCCTCCTCTCTGACGGAGTTGAAGGCTGGTATCCAGTGTTATTCCCTCTCTTGCCCTTGTCCCCAAGGCACCGAGGGACTTGCTCTCCTCTCCTTCCAGGGGGCCTGGGAACATCCCAAGCCGCTTCTCCTGCTGGTGAGACTTGCAAAAAGGGGAGGAGAGCCCCAGCCGGCCTCGCCGTCCCCACTCGCTGTCCCCTGCATCCCAGGGGCATAGGTATCCGTGTCCCACCCAACCCCAAGAGCCAACGCTGTGGCTAGGCTGAGGGAGGAGGAGGTCTCCATATCCCGCCTTCTCTCCCTCTCCTTGCCTTTGTTCCCTACTTTTTTGGTGATTTTCCCCAGTTTTCTTTCTGCTTCCTGGTTGTGTGACAGGAGGTTCCCGCCGTGGGCTGCAAGAGGAGAGGTGGCAACTCCGTTCCCACCCGGGCTGCCTTCCCTGCCCGCCTGTGCTGCAGGGGGAGGCCCGACCTCTCCCTTGGCTTTCCCATCCCTCGTCTGTGTAAATGTTGCCTGTACAGTTGCCGTTTTCTATAAAAAAAAAAAAAAACCCAAAATGCCCTTTGGGTACGTGTCTCCATCGCCACAGGGGAGAGGGCAAGGGCTGAAGAGAGCCAGCACTGGCATTTCCCGGGCATTCCCAGGGTCCCCAGTATCGGGCAGTGAGTGTGTGTGTGCGTCCCCTGCACAGCGGGGCTCTGCTACGGGGCCACGGCCAGCATGGGAACGGGGTGCTGCCCTCGGGGTACACCCAGGGACCACCAGCACAAGGAGAGGACGCACCTGTGCATTTTGGGGTGCGCTGACTTGGGAGCTTTGTGCCTGAGAACAGCCGGAGTGCCACCAAAAAAAAACACGATGACTCCGTCACCCTGCCAGCGGCCTTCCAGCCCCCACATCACCCCTGGGTACCACCTCTGCAGCACCCCCGGGGCACTAATAAGGCAAAAGCTGTGAGGCCCGGATCCCCCTCATGCCTCCCCCGCCTTCCTTTGCCTGCCCACAGGCCCAACAGGGAGGATAAGGCCTGAGGGTTGGGTTTTTTTCATTTTATTATTGCCCTTAAGACATTCAAAATAACAAACACCAAGGTTTCAATGGGGAAAACGGGCCTGCTTTGCTCTCGGACCCTGACACGACCCCCTCCGGCCTCCCCCTCCGGAGCCAGGCCCCTCCATCTTGGCCCCTCCTCAACCCCAAAGCCCCATGGTGACACCCCCCCCGCCTCAGGACGCCACAGCTACACGGCTCTGGGCCTCAGGGGAAGCCCCCAGCACGGAGCTGGGACACCAGGGAGGGGGCTCGGTGGATCCCCCCTTCGCCGCCCACGCCCG